TGACACCCTTCAATATGAAGGGCAAGTCAGCGTTCCTTCGTCTAGAAATGTATCTGTCGGCTGTGGGTGGGTGACAGGTAGGCTTCCTCCTGCCAGGGCTGGGTTTGGTCATCCCGAGCTCTGCTCCTGCTGTCTGATTTCCGTCTGCCTCCCCCACTTTTATTCTTCTGTTAGTGGTGTTCTCTGAACCCAGCCTCGTGGGTGAGTTTAAAGTGGGGAGAAAGCAGAAAGCCCTGTCTGCCTTCTCCCCCGGAACCACCTTCTCCTTGTCTTCATTTAATGGTACATGTGGTTTTGTCCCGGCTCAAGGTCATATGTTCTTTCCATGCATAGGACTCATGCGTCTCCTTTTCCTTTTTAGGGCTTCGGGAACACAGCAGTTCAGTCCAACAGGAAAATACAAAGCAGATGGCGTCTTAGAAACAGTATGGCTTTCTGGAACATTATCACGCAAACTCTGATTTTGTTTGGGCACGGTCTCCTTTCATATAAGTAAATCCTTCCTCCGCTGGGGACGGGCCAGACCTCCCTGAGGCCCTGGCACACAGAACCCTCCTCCTGGGACTGCAGCGGGCAGAAGTGGGGGCTTTTGGGGGTGGGCTTTTGCCAGAACTGGCTGGTGGGCGGCCTGTCATGTCGAGGTTGTACCAAGCCTGAAGTTCCCCCGGCAGTCTGGGCACGGTGCCTTTTGGCTAAACCCAGCCTTCTCTGCGCTCCTCTTTCTGTCTTCAGCGTCCTCTCTGAGATGTTTTTGAGAGGGTAGTGGGGGATGGTGTGGAGGAGAGAGGCGGTGAGAAGGCGGAGAAGAGCTTTGATAGGACAGGAGCACCAGCCCTAAAACCAGACCCAAGTAAGACGAAGGAAGGGGAAGAAAATGAGGTGTACGAAGAGACAGAAACGGTGGCATTTCCCACCGATTAACCACCTCCTTAATGAGGATTTTGGTTTTACCTAGTTTGTCTCATTTGTCCCAGGTTTGGACCCATGGCCCTGGGATCCCCATTGAGGGCCCCGCTCTGTGGGATGTTTTCTCTAAAACTGTTTTTTCCTGACCTTCCTGCGAAAGCAAATGGGACTTGTACCCACTGTTCCCAACCAAACTCAGGACACTGCCCGCTGGGCTTAGAACTGGCCTGGCAATGGCGATTTG